TGGCAGAAATAAAACCAGAGCAAGGAGAAAGGGTGTTCCTTTTCCTTCAAACATTACTGCAACTCGTTGCCTTGTTTCCACAAGGATTAATAGTTCAAAGCGTGTTGAGGAACACGCATTTACCTGCAGTGGTTGCAGACACAAATTTATATTAGCTAAAATTCCAAACGCATACCGCTGCTACAATTGTGAAAGAGTAAGCAGTTCATCTTCTTCGGTTTCTGAGCAATCAACCAAAGACCTTGGATCTTTCAAACGTGATCATCAACCGAATAGTTATAACAGTAACCCAAATGGAACTTTACAGAGAACATTATCTCCTTCACCTAGTGTTTCCTTCTCCTTCTCCTCTCCAACTCACAAACGCGCAGTTATATGTGGAGTTTCATACGGGAAAAGGAAATTCAAGCTCCAAGGAACCATTAACGATGTCAAGAACATGAAAAATCTATTGCTGGATATATTTAAATTCCCAAATGAGTGCATACGTGTCCTCTCAGGTATCTCCTTCAGCCCTTTTCTGATTAGTATGTGAATTTTATATCATCCACATCCATTTCAATTATGCTTCTTTTTTGCTTCAATGCATACAAAATTAAAGTAGAACAATAATTATATACATTATTTATGCGAATATGTTGGACTGTATATTATAGTAGATGAAGAAGATGAACAATATCTGTATTGAAAGCCTGAGTGTTTTTGCTATTGCCTGAACTTTTGTTAAACCAAACTTTCCAATGAATAGGCAGGTTCTTGTTCTCCTAACAAGTAATCTCTCAGCCATATCCATTTTCAAAAGAACTTGAACTTTCCCTTTAGTTTAATTCCAGAACTTGTAAATTTCAGAAGAAAAGAACGACCCGAATTCAATGCCAACAAAAAAGAACATACTGGATTCCTTAAACTGGCTAGTGAGTGACTGCAAGTCAGAGGGGTCATTGGTGTTCTACTTCTCCGGACATGGTCTGCAACAACCGGAACAACAGAAAGGAGATGAAACTGATGGGCTTGATGAAACTATTTGTCCTGTTGATTTTCTGAGAGAGGGAATGATCACTGACAATGAAATAAATTCTATCATTGTTCGACCACTCAAGGAAGGTGTAAAACTTCATGCTATTATCGATGCTTGTCATAGTGGAACAACTCTTGATCTTGTGTACACGTGGAAAAAGGAAAAGTAAGTGCATGTCCAATGCTTTGTTTCTTTTAATGTTTATGTTTCTATTCAAATCTCAATGTTTGGTCTCTTTTGCATGCTTGCAGAGGCCTTTGGCAACGTAAGGAAAACAGATCATCTCATAGCAAAGAAAAACAAACGAATGGTGGAGTTGCTATTTGCCTCAGTGCTTGTGACGATGCTCAGGTGGCTGCTGATACCGCAGTAAGAATCTTTCTTTTGTGTTTTCATCTGCCCCCTTTTATGAAATGCAATGCAATTCTGAATCGTCACCTACATTTGCAGGCTTTCGAAGACAAGTATAATGGTATTATGACCTATTTCTTCTCTAAAATAATCAGAGCTCATCCTCAAATAACATATGGCAGTTTACTGGAAAAGATGCACGAGGAACTTGGACAGATCCACCAAAGCAGATTCTCTAACAGATTCTTACAACGAATTTTTCATCGGAAAATAGACCAGGTAGTGCTCCATCTTCATTAGTTCTCATTGCTTTTCAGGTAAATCCAAGATTTTGTTTACCTCAAATGCAATCTAAGAGAGTGAAATGGCAGACATAATCCTCAAAAATCATGTTTTAGCGGATTTTATCCTTGCAATGTATAGCATAAACTCAAACCATTCTAGAAATTTAGTATCTGGTTTTCGTTCATCCGAGCACTGTTGTCTGCACATTACAGCAGGGCATATACCAGTATGAAGTATGATTTGTTCTGTTTCAATTTCTATTGCACACAACCTTACTTTATCACTCATGATTTGTTTTATGCTCAAAATTACATCTTCTATGATATATGAGAGAGCTGAATGCTATCTACTTGAAGCAGCATCAAGGATTTAGACTTAAATATGATGTGTTATCAATCTGTTTCGAATGTATAATAATCTCAAGAACTTAAAACAAAACTATTGTATAATTTATTTCGTATCTAATTGTTACACATCATAGTTGACAATTCCTGAATGAAATTTAACAAGGAATTGGATTCTTTTCTTTGGTGCATTGCAGGATCCTATCTTATCATCATCATCTAAAAGTTTTGATATTGGTACAACATTTACTTTGTGAGCACTTATGTTGGAAGACAGTTCTCTCATTTGTTAATTGGTTGTTGAGGTCAGGACAAGATATTAAGGCTATTCATCATAGCTGTCTCATGACAGAATATATCATTCATGGTGAAATATGATTCTACTGATACAATAAAATCTGTACTGACTGTGTTACAGAGATGGAATTGTTCGCATCTAGAACAGAAAAAGAAGATAAAACCTAGGACTTTAGGTTTGTTTCACTCTATCAATTTATACCTAAAGTGTAACAGTGACTTCCAATAACAGAGCTTTACTTCTAAAAGAAATAATATTATCAAGTTTTCATGATTTTTATTTCTCACTCAAGTATTTTTAATAGATACTTTTTTACACTTTTTTGTTGATCTAAATTTATTGAGCAATATAAATCACTCTTGTATATTTAATTGAATATTTTAAATATTCTAAGTGTCTCTACATGGTATGATTAAAATAGTTTTTAAAAAATATATAATTTTCTTCAATGTTTCACTTTTCTTATTCTTTTATTTTGTTCTTTTCCTATGTTTGTTTTATATACATAAACTGGAAACCGTGTAAAGAACAATAAGGAAGCAATGAATATAATTAGCATCATCCTAAAACCAAGCTTGCAGCTCACCGTAGACTTGGATGCCAATCATGGGATTGTAACAAGTTTAAAAAATCATTATTAAAAAGTTTATTTTTAAATAAAGAATCTTAAAATAAATTTTGTGTATATAAAATTTTAAAAAATAACATTTATAAGATTAATTTGATTATTTAAAATTAAAGAATTTTATATTTTATGTAAAAAAAAATCTTTTTAGCCCAATCTCAATTAAAATACTGTGGACTCAAATTCAATTATGATGAACGTGAGAATAATGAAGTGAGAATAAGATAATGGATAAAACCATATGCTGAGAGGCAAAACTTCTACTCTATCTAGATCAAGTGTAAACAATTGTACCTCATCAAAATCATTTCTCATCTGAAATGAAGATCACAAAGACTATATATTATGTTCTTCTACTTGAAGATGAAAAATCTAAAGATTTAGACACAAGACAAAAAGAAAAACATATGACGTTAATATTCTTTTAACATCAATTTATTTATTAAAATGGATTTATTTTGAACACTATTTATGAGAATAATTTATTTTGACTATAACCTAAGCTAAATTGAATTTGCGGACGAAACTATAATGACACACCAATCAACATATTATTTTTTTAAGCTCTAAACCAGTGAAATTTTAAATTAATTTTTTCACAGAACATGTTCAGATTCCAACGAACAACATGGAGAGCATCCATTGGATCACCCGTTACATCCTTTTTCAAATGCTGTGAAGCTCCATTCATGAACAAAGATCATGATGAAGAAGTGAGCGTAGGAGCTGAATTCATTTTCATTCTCAGAAACAATCGTATAGATCCTATATTTTATTTTAATCATTAGTGGGTTATTGATAAATAGATAAATAGATTCGCCGTCCCATATCAGAAAAAGGCAAATAGAATGTGATTCCCAACACCGCTTCTTAACAATTGACATATTGACTCTCGTTAGAGAACGTTTTATTCACCCTCGTTTAGCAAGAATGCTGTATATGTTGTCCTGAATGATTTCTTTTTGTTGAGTACAAACAGAAAAGGTTATTATGGATGGGAGGATCATAGAAACCCCAGAGCTTACAAAGGCACGAGAGGAGGGTTAACAGTTTGCATTTCAGCTTGTGATGATGATGGAAATTCAGCAGATACATCGGTTAGTTATGCATCTTTTTCCCTTTCCAATGGGGTGTGTGTAGATTAGAATAGAACTATTCATAGAACATACTTTGTGTTTGTTTTGTTAGGCCTTTAGCGGTGAGGAAAGTGCTGGTGCTTTGACTTTCAGTTTCATCCAAGCCATGCAAGTGAACCTAATTTGACTTATGGCAACTTGCTTAATTCCATTCGCTCTACAATCCGTGGGGCTAAAGAAAAAAAGTTTGGCAAAAACGATCGACAGCTTGGCATGAACAGTCGCATGCAGTATGCTCATGTATTATATCAATCACTCTATATGGTTCATTCATTCCCTTCTCCTATATATATATATATATATATAGATAAAACACTGTAGCTGATGCCATGTTTATTTTAATTGGGTTTTGTTTGCAGGAGCCTCAATTGACGTCGTCTGAGAAGTTTGATATTTATTCAAAGTCAATTGCTATTTGACATAACTGGAAAAAGATAAAAAAATTTGTTAAGGACTTTCTTTTTTCTTTAGTATATTAACATGTTCGACACAAGGTTAGTCTTGTACGAGGAAGGAATAACACCAAGTTGGAAAGAGACAAATAAAGGAAGGCTGATTGCCAAGAGGTTTGGCTTTATAAACAGCAGAAGCAGACTGCTAGTACTGTCATTCATACTCATAAAAATAAGAAAAAAATGTTTCCTCTCTCTCTGGCTTATAATGGAAACGTTTCATGTGGTTACTTGGTACTCTGTTTTGTTTACTAAATTAAGGAAATGTTAGTTGTGGCTATTGTGCAGCAGCGTTTTGATGAGCAATGCTAATAATAGACCACAAAACCAATGGCAATGCAACCCAGAAAGAGCGAAATAAAGTAATGTATGTCTTGAGATATATGGTCGATTGTACATATATTTTCTGAAAAACAAAATTAAATAACGGAGAACCTCGTGCCCGACCACAAAAAATGGAAGAAACTAGTATGCTAAGCCTTTTTTTTTGAATTAAATCAACAGATTAAAAATAAATGATCCCCCTTTCCCCCTCCCAAAAAAAAACGAAAAAAAGAGAGTAATCCTGCCGGAATGTATGGAAAATTAGATCTGTAGGAAGCAGAAATCTCAGGCAAGGAAGTTTGATCTAGCTGCTAATTGATACAAAGTTAAAAATGGATATTCTCCCGAGAAGAAAGCGGCGATGTGGGACAGGACTTTGTAGTACCTGTATCAATAAGGAATGCTTTTAAGTGCTTGGCAAACTCTTTTGGCTTTTCTAGGTTCACTGCATGCCCTGCGTTCTTGATGATTGCCATTTGAGCATTTTCCCCTATATGCCTGCTCCAAACACAAATCCACACTTAACAGTCTACGATCATGTTTCTATGCAACTCATGAGCTTCCACTGAATTCAAATCTCACCTTTTTAATCTGTGTGCTAACTCCAGAGGGAATACCTGATCTTGCTCTCCCCATAAAATTAGAGTAGGCTGCTCCAATGTAAACATACAAAATGGTGAATATTAAAGTAACTACATATTCTAAAGAAGGTGAAGCGAATAATCTAGCTGCTTGGAGTTTTTTTATGAGATAACACAGATCAATGCATCACAATAGAGGATGACAACTATTAAAAAAACAGTGAGGTTTCTTTTGATAAAATCTAAAAGTATCAACAAAAGTTACTACCTGATAAAAAAGTTCAGAAAACTAAAGGCATAAGAATTTAAAGAAAGAATAAATACCAGTTGGATCTTAGGAAGATCGGAAAGTTTCCTGCCTTTCAGTATGGCCTCAAGCAATTCTCTCTTTTCTTCAATGTAGTCTGTACACATCACCTGCAAAAGTAATAAACACAGAATTGGTTAAATCATTTGATCTTTATACCAGCATGCATGAGCCTTGATTAAAACTGCTTGACATGACAAATGAACAAATTTTGTAAATTCAGACACAGGACAAAAGGGTTACCACAAAACAATCAAATTCCACAGCTGAGATCATTTTTCAATAAAATTTTGACATACATAAAAGAAATCGAAAAAGATTCTACAGAAACCATCCAGAGTTGAATGCTAATGCAGCAGGATTCACATTTTGACGGGGTATTTGTTGGAGAATTAAAGTAATATACATAAAATTTTGGAAGGAAAATAGGAAAGAAAGAGATGCATACTTGAATGAAATCTTGAAGGAACCAAGTAGGGACTCCCCTGGCGGGTCTAACAAAGGAGAGCTTCATCAACTCCCTGAGCTTATCTGGTGTCTGTGGCAACAAGATGTTTGAAGCTTCGTCCAAAGTGGAAACCCTAAACAAGCCATTCTGCATATCAACCTCCTCCAAACACACCCCAGCACAGCACAGCACAAGCTTCTCCACAACCTCAGGGAACTGAACACCCACACTGTACCCTACAAACCCACCGTAGCTGATCCCCACCAGGCTCATTCGCTGCACCCCATGGGCCTCCATCATCTTCACCAAGCACTCCGCCTGGAACGACTCGCTCCTGTCACTCCGCGACGTGAAGGACTCCCCGAAGAACACTAGGTCCGGCACGTACACGTTGAAGTGGCCCATGAACTGCCGCACGTGTTCCCCGTATTGCCACATGGCGTTGGCGCCGAAGCCGTGCACCAGAACGAGGCTGGGCTTGCATGGCTTCTGCAGCTTGGGCACCCAGCAGTGCATGGTGGTCCCCTCGCCGAGCTCCGTCGCCACGGAGCGGAGCCCCGCGGAGGCGAAGAGGTGGCGGTAGACCCAGTCCCGCGAGGCGGTAAAGCTGAAGCATTTGGATAGTTTTGGCAACATGGAAAGCGTTTGTTGAAGGGTTGATGAATTCGATGAAGGGAATGAGACGATGAGGGAGGAGAGGGAGACGATGAAAGTTATGAGAAGAAAACGGGTTACAGAGAATAACGTAGGATATGATTAGATGTTTGTTATTTTTGTGAAATTAAAAATTTAGTGAGAATACGAGGTCAGGGGATATCCCAACACGACATCAGCTCCAACTCCAATGCAACAAACGCGGACTGCCGTTTCATGTGACACATCCAATTCTACTATTTTCTTCCTTCTCCTTTTTTCTCTATTCTTTATTTTACAACAATGCCACACTTCACATATGCTGAGTGGTCAATTCACTGTGGTTAGGCCATAAAAACCCTTGCTTAACAACTCTTATAATTAATTTTACTCTTAAACTTACCATTAATGTGTTTAAATGCATAATAAGTTACGAGTTATGCCCACCATCTGTTACTTTCTTCCAATTCTTTTCTACGTTACTGCTTTATTCTTCTCGGTTATTCAAAATCTAATCTTTAAGATCTGAAGTAATCATTTTAAAGCCTGAAAGTTAAAAGTGTTTTTATTTATGTATTAAATAATTTAACAAATGATTTTATACATTAGAAAATTGAAAGATAAATATATTACAATATAAAAAAAAATACTAACAAATTTGTTTTATTATTCATTTTATTTTATATTTAATTTACTATCATGATTATTTTATTTTCTTATTTTTTATTTATATTCTGTTATATGTACATCAAATTTATTTTATTTTTTTATTCATTTATTTTATTTTTAAAACTAATTTATCTATGCTATTTTTTTATTTTTTATTTTTTATTTTTTCTTTTATAATTAATTAGTCATTTAATAATTTACTAAAAAGTAATTAAGTATACACGATAATTAATTATAGTGTAGAGTTTAACATGAATTTGAAAATAAGAAATTATTTCATGTCTATAAAATTAGAGTATAAAACCAACATTTTTTTCTTCAATATTAAGGTTACTTAAATAAATATATATTTAATAAAAGGAATAAATTTATATACATAAAAAATATAATTATTATTTAAAACTCAGTTTTAAAATTGAAAATGAGTTAAACGTGGTATAATTTCATATAATCTAAAATTTATATAATTTGGATCAATTTAGCATTTGGATCAATATAACATCGTATACAGATTGACTCTCAATATGTCTGAAACAAAAAAGTTTTCTTTTCCGCACAATCAGAAATGCAAAACGTTTAGTCACATCTAAAATTTACAGGAACCTGTTAGGCCAAACTATTACGCAGAACTTATTTGCCTTTTAAACAGGCGCACAAACAAAGAGGGGAGAAAGAAAAGGAGGTGAGACAGCTTATACTTCTTGGCTCCAAATTTCTATGCCTTTTTTCTATAATATTTTTTTACAACAAAATTCCCAGATGAGATAAAAAATGGAGCATCCCACCAACACAGACTGATCTTCCCTGTGTTGCTCGTATAAAGTGCAAGAAAGGAGCCAAATCGACAGCCATTAACATTCTTGAGACGTATGAAGGTCAGTGTCGAAAGAACAGCTCGTATCAACTCCAGGATTTTCTGAGTCTTTTCTCTGCAAGACTAGCAGTCTTGTTCTGTGGTTCAAGAACGAGAGCATGCTGGAAATCTGGATAAAACGTGAGAAAATGAAAGAGGAAAGGGAACAGCATTAAGAATAAGAGGTAGGTGATCCACAAAAAGCTGTCAAATAGATCCAGTTATCCTGGTAATGGTCAGACAATGAGGCTATTACGGGATACAACGAATAGCTCATCCCACAACAGTGCAAGATTCGAGTACAACCAAGACATCCGAGTATCTAACAATTACGATCTCTACCTCAAACAAAACCCTTTTTCACCTACCTATGTTACATGGTCAAGTATGTCAGTTCTTTGAAGATTAAAAGATCTAATGACACCAAAAAAGGTACACACCAGGCACACTTAAATATGATTATCCTCATTTCTGCATCTTTTCTATTCAACAGATTTGTTCCACCTGTTTCTAAACGTCATCATGCTCCATAGGATCCGCATCAGAATCAAGAAAACAAAGTTTAAAAAAAAGTCCAAACATTATTGGACTGCTTACGCAATATCAAAGTTGACTAGTAACGACTGTTCTATTCTATGATATATGTCCTTGTCAAGAACTATCCTACACCATTTCAAATCAGATTCAAATGACATGCAAGACACTTTTTTTTTTTTAAATTGACGCACCTTTCAGAGCTTCCGTATAACGAAGTAGTTGTTCTCTAGCAGTTCCACGCCTCAGATATGCCTTTACATTCTGCAGTAAAATAAAAATACACAACGATCCCCAATTACATCCATATGTGCTGTAGATATTCTTTTAGATTGAGATGTCAAAATCAAAAGTACTACGAAATACAGGGATCTACTAAATGTAAATTGCAAAAATAAATGATAACTGGAACACTATTAAGCTTCTCCTAAGATGGATACCCATAATGTAAGACATTTTAAGGTATTCAAAGAAATACATTTACCACAATATTAGAATACAAGTTATAGTTAGTAGAGTTCATTAGTTATGGTTATTATTATACATGGCAAGTTTTAGAATACAAGTTTTTCACGATTTTGGCACTGTTGTTACATGCTCAGCTTCTCACCTTCTTATCATGTAATATAGCCTTATTGCAGTCCTCTTCAGCTTCCTGAAAGCTGCATATTTTCACAGTATACACCAGTTACATAGAAATGGTGAAAGTTAATTGTAAGAACAGGAGAAACCTTGTACCATCCTAACTCCAGGTAAGCAGCTGCCCGGTTGCTGAAGTAAGTTGCATTTTCCCCATTCAAGTTAATAGCCTCAGTGTAGTAATCGACTGCCTTATTCCACAGCCTTCCTTTAAAGGCTGCATTTCCCTGAAAAAATGCCTTTTTAGTGATCCGTGCCACATCTTGAAAACCTACCACCATTCCTACACCATTACCCCATATAAAACCATTGACCCTTCTTGAGAAGCTTTAATACAGTTATATTTTACATTCAGTATTAATCAAGTGATCAAATCTTATGGATTTTACAAGATGACCTTATTTACAAAAGAATTTTATCAGAATACAAAAGAAATGCTGAAGTAGAATTAACCTTCTCCTTCAAAAGGTCGGAAGTTTCTATACCACCATTTGTATCCGGCAGGGGCAAAGCATAAGCAACACTAACTTGCTCCTGAATTGTTGTATACATATCCAAAACCGTATTAAGAAGAAATTTATCAGCTCCATGAGCCGAGATGAACGAGACAGAAGCACAACAATCTTTGTGACATCCTAATGGAATTGCAACCTGCAAATGATGCATAAGCAAATATAAAAATCAACAGAAGTTTCAGATAAATAAATAAAAGTTAAGAGGGAAAACATTCACTCCAAAGCCTAAAGATAGAAAGATACCTGACAACATCCAGAGATACTAGCAATGCTAGATAATGCAAAAGCTCTGTCATGAAACTCAGAAGAAAATCCTTTCTCTGTATTACGCTTTAATGGATCATCTGGAACAGTGGGAATAACTAGTATTCCATCATCCTGTAAGACAATCAAAACAGAGGAGATAAGGGCATAGCACGAACAAATACAATAACATTAAGAAAGCCTATTTGAGATTTCATAATAGAAATCGGAATATCTTGATGGAATAATTTTAGGACAAATCACTTTTTCAAACATTGATATGAAAACAAATGCTACATTGGACTGCTAATTTACTCTCCATTTCCCCTAAACTTGCTATAACAAGTTAAGAAAACTCAAGGCTATAACTTGGAAAGTTTACTTACAGTGATGAATAACAATGACAGACAGGCATACACCCAGCATCATACTAGAGTAAAACATTACAAGAAAGTATATTAGTATTTAAATTATATTGATAGGTAACATTTAAAATATATTTTTCGTATATATTATGGATTTAATTCTATATTTTATTCTATCATTGTATAATCTCCTCCTTTTTCTTTTTTTAATCCTATTTAAATTATAATATTTTCATTTTTACAACTATTTCATACAAAATGCTTATATTTTTATATTCTTAGGCAAGTATTGGCACAATCCTACCATGATTATTTTCTTATGTAGCCATAAGTATTTACTACCATGATGGCTTCAGTATCATATATAATATTGCCATTCATTCATGAATATTTCATTTATTTAATTTCTTTTTAATTCAATATTTGAAAATGAATAGTATTATTAACACTAAAAATCTTTGCTTATAAATAAGATAATTTAATGATATATTAAAAGTCATTTTAGTTTCTCAGTTTTCTATTTTTTTTTTTTAAATATGTAATACGACTCCACGCATTGCACATTTCACCATGCTAGTTTTAACATCATTTGAAAGTTGAAAACATTAAGCTAAAGCATTACTGACAAATGACTGCAGATATTACAGTACCTTTAACAAACGTTGGAAAGCAACCCGCATTTCATTTCTTACTTTATACAAGGTTTTCACATGATCATGTGTACTATTCATGGCTGCAATAACACGCTCAGACACAGCACGTCCTAACCTGGGTTTGACTGATTTAAACCACTCTTCATGATTTGTTTTGAATTCATATCTGAAGAGCAGATACAAAATTGCAATAAAGGGTTATACAAGACCCTCAAAAAAATCTAAAACGCAATGTTTATTAAAAAAGGCAAACGAGGGAAATGATTCATCAACCATACGGAAACATAAAGTATATATTTAATAGTAAAATACTAAAGGATAAATTAGCATACCCTTGTAAAGAAAACATAACCAAAGTGAGATCCTTCAATATAGATACTCCATTTTGTTGCTGTGTTAATTTATCATGAAATCCCTTTAAACTGGGAACATTAGAGGCAATATACTGGCAAATATTCATATGATGCGGGGACTGATCTGCAAAAACAATTGGACCAAAAGACTTCATTCTTCATAATACACACAAACTTCCCCTTATAATGTCAAGACATTCAAAGTTTTGTCACTCACTGTATCGACAATCAACCATACAATAATAACAACACAACAAACAGCCTTTTTCCACTAGGTGATAACAACCAAGTAAATCAACCATAAAAATTATATATATAGGAGTCATGAATAAGTCTTCAAAGGTAAAGAAACTTACAACCAGACAATTTTTCAATTGCTTTGTCAATAACATATACTGTTTTCTGCGAAGGAACCTTAGATAGTTGAAAAAGATCATCTGCAAAAAGAATACGCCTTGTCCTTTTGACCTCCACCAAATTCGTTGGAAGTAAAACAAGTCCAACATGACGTAGGACAGAAGCATCCCGAGCAAACCATCCTACAATGTAGTTATGCAATGAGGCAATAAACAATTAAAGAAGAAAGTATTAAAAATATTGTGCGCAAATTAAAAGAACAGTGAAATCCCAATTCAACTCAATGAGCAGTAATTTCTAATTAAGGTAAGCATATATTACACTGGGCTGTCAGACCAAGACCTAACTAGACATGTTATACTGTAAAAAAATGGAAAGCAATACCGAGTACCAACAATCATATCTTGTTATATAGGACTCATCTGAAAATTTATTAAACCGTGAATGTAATTTCCCAATTTTCTCCACGTAATACTTGGTCACGTGGAAAATTGATACAGAATTCAATATTTGAAAAAGATTAAACGTATATGTGGATATTTCAGATAAATAAAACCTAGTAATATATTGAAAAATAAATAAAAACATATAAAACAAATCACACAATTAAGCATCATACCAACAGTGTCCAAGCTTTGTGCATTTGGAAGAACTCCAATGGTGGATACAACCCCATGAGATGGTCGAAACCCAAGAATACCACAGAATGCTGCGGGAATTCTCACACATCCCGTTGTATCGGTACCTACATAAGCAAGCACGATACTTGAGAGAGAAAACAATAGCAAATGAATTTTATGATCACAAAGAAATTGCAATTTCAATGTTTTCATATATGGATAAGACAGTGACAGACTATGCACAGCAAGCCATGCTGCAACAATACATGAATGGGATTACAATAATAAACTACGAGCTGGAATCCTGAAATTGTGAATGCAACTATCAAGATATAATTTGTATATCCCTACAACCATGGAACTTAACTTTTAATGAGTGTCAGCATAGAAAAAACTATTTCACAGCTGTATGAGACCAAATAATACACACAAACAAACACTTTCCACTTTTCAGGAATACATTTGAGCACAAGAACAATTCCAATGTCATAAACAAAATAAAATTGGTTGTTGTTTATTACATTGAATAGGCAAGCTAATAAGTAAGAACACGTACACAAATTGAGAGAATAGCATTTTCAAAGGAAAGATTACTTGACAAGCAAGTAAACTAAAATCACCTATAGCAAAGTCAACGAGACGTGCAGCAACAGCAACAGCCGAACCACTGGAGGAACCGCCAGGGATGGATGAGGTCAAGTAAGGATTAATTGGCGTTCCATAAAACTTGTTCTCACCGGAAATCCTGCAATGCCGACGACGAAAGCCACCAACAAATTAGTAAAGTAAACGAGTTCAGAATCAAAAGCGGTTACACGCTAACACTTATTACACACCCAAAAGAGAATTCATCCATAACAGTCTTGCCAAGACAAGTGGCACCGTTGGAGAGGAGAGCAGTGATGACAATGGCAGTCTTCCCAGCTTCACTGTGCGTCCTCTTCCAATGAGGGTTCCCAAACCCCGTCACATACCCCTTCACATCGAATCTGCCGTAAACAAGTAATCACTACAACTCGTTTAAAATTAGTACGCAAAAATATTTGAAGCAGAGGGAAATAAAGAAATGAAGGACGAAACGAACATGTCTTTGATGGCGAAGCTTAGGGAAGAGAGCGTTTGCGTTTGGTCGGGTTGAGGAATGGGGAGAAGTTCGAAACGCTCTACGAATGCACCGAAGTCCTCATTGGGGAGCTTCCGCCGTCGCCTCCGGCGGGTCTCGACCAGAACAACGGCGCCGGCGAGTCCTATTCCAATGAGGAGCCATACTTTAGGGTTGGAGGCGTTGAGCTTCAACGATTTAGACATGATCGTGAACGTGACTAGATGATACAGAGGGCACTCAACGAAAGGGTTTTACAGAAAGGAGGGAATGTCACCGCTATCATGCGCCGCTCCCAAATAAATTTTCAACCTAATGTATATTCGCGCGAATCTAGCATACTCTATTTTATTACATTACCACTTTTTTTTCTTTTTTATTTTTCTTTGAAGAGTCAGATTACAAAACATTCCCAGCATATATATATATATATATATATATATATATATATATATATATATATATATATATATATATATATATATATATATTTTATTTTATTTTTCGGCTTTTTCTTGTTTTTAACAAACAAATGTGTCTTTCACGGCATCTAGCGCGTTGATTATTAAATATTTAGTCAGAAGCTTTGATGTTGATTAAATGAATTTAATTTGAATACGTTGATGATAAAAATCATATCACAACTTCGATCGTAGACTTTTATTTGTGATTGCGACAAAAAGACGTGTCAAGTTTCAATAAAAAAATATTCATATTCAAGTTATTTATAACGAAACCTTCTTTAGCTAATAAAAAAAATTAAAAAACATATTAAGTGAATTTGTTTAACTAATATTGGAAATAAAAACCATACGCAGAGGATGAAAAGTAGAAGTTAGTTGATGATTGAATAACTAATTTACTTGTAGTCGAGGAAAACTAGTTTCTAATTTTGAAGAAAATTTAATATTAATTTCGAGTTGAAAAATGAAACGTGGAAGTTTGGAGCATAAGAAAAATTTATGGATTGACTGTCCGATATTTCCAAACATGGCTTTGTTGAAAATAATTTAAAAATATTACATTCAATTAAAAATAATTTAAAAAAATTAGATAAATTAGTAAATCAATTCAATTCATCATATTTAATTCGAATAGATCAAACTTAAAATTAATCTATATCAAAATTTTAATTTTTTTTAAACACAACCTGATCCAAATCCATAATGGACCAAATTAACTTGTGTTGAATTCGTTTTAACCGCACTAATTGAAATAGTTAAAAGATTTAAATATAAATAATGTTAAAAAAAAAGTGAAACAATTCCTGTCGACACTTTAAAAAAGTATGTATCGGAGATGTAGGGGTATTGAAAGAATATTGTAAATTGTGTTCATAACAAACGCATAAATCCCTGGATCAAATTTAGAAACAATGTTCAACTTCACACTGCTACATGAAATAATAATGCAAATTACAAAGAAAAATTATGGTAATAATAATTAATCTACACAAAACAAATTATGAGAAACTAAATGGCAGGAGGACCTAATTCGAAGAAGTTCAATTTTACAGAGGAAGTCTAAGATTTATGAGCAAAACCTGTGTTGTAGAAAATGGATATGACGAGATCTCAAAACAAATGGAAGTCTAAGATTTATGAAATATATACCAAGAAAATATAGGGAATAGTTGTGTGGTGTTTGTTGTTGTGTTGTGTTCCCTTTTTCATCTATCAGTCAACCCTTGAAACGAACTACAATGCACGAAATATCATCCTTGCTGTCTTTGTCCAATGCCTACGCAATTAGCTTTTTTGCTGCCTTTTGTGGATCTTTTATCCTTCTAGCAATATCAACTGCTTCTTGGTTTGCCATTACCTGCAATGCAAAAAGACAACACAAAGGTGTAGAAATTCTTTAAGTTCTGCATAAACAATGGACAGAAAGATATTTTAGAATTATGGATAACCTTCCAAAGACCATCACTAGCAAGTATCAAAAGCTCAGCATCTGAGTTAATATCAAAATGATGTACATCAGGATCAGATCGCAAGTGTGATTTCAGATTCTTGTCACCAAATGCTCGAGAAACTGCAAGCTGCCCATTCACTCTTGCAACATCTCCTGATATAAACCACTAACATGTTAACAAACTCCTCCAAATTACACAACAATTGTATTAATGTCACAAAATACTTCTATACTAACATTCCAAAACTCGGGTTTCATCTTATAATTTATATAAACTCATGTTCATCTCTTGTTTTATCTAATATGAGACTTTATTTGTATCCTTGCAATTACAAAATGTGCATAAAAACAGACAACCTTGTGCTTATATTCGTGGAGCTTCATTGTTTGTAATTTACTACCTCACTTAATTTAATATTTAATTAATATATATCAAGATCAGTCCTTATATCTGAGTGTAGAGTGTAAATCCATACAACAAGGGTAACTTGTAAGGTAAACATTGTCCAAGTCATGCTTTAAGGTTGCAATCAAAGCATCCCACAAAGTTACTGAACTTAAGCAGTAATCCAACACCATAACTAATGAAAAATCATTTCATGATGCATAAATCCTATTCCCAAACATTTCATAGTATTGAAATCTAAGAATGACAACATAAATCTGCCCCTTGAACATGTAAGCAATATCTAACAGACATTAACTAAGGTTTATTAAAGAACCTGGCATGTTTGAGACAAAGCCTCCTTTGTTCTCGATGAAGCCCCTCTCAGTATTTGGCTCATGATCAATGGTCATCTGAATGGCCACCCCCTTCCTTGACAGAACTGCCCGTGAATCTCCAACATTTGCGACCCATAAGTTCTGATTATTAATAAGAATTGCAGTGACTGCAGTAGATCCTCCTCGCCCCAAATCAGAACTGTGAGAAAGAATGGCCTGATCTGTTGTCTCGTAAGCTTTAATGATAGAATTTCTAGGATCGGTCCAGAAGTCCTCCTGGAATAGTCAAGACTACAATTTGTAATTCCAAAGTAAAATCTTGCCAAGCGGCATTACAGAGTTCAAAGAAGAAAATTAGGCCAAACTTCAGGATTTTCTGACAATAAAGAGGTTATACAAAATTACATTTCTTACTGTCAATATTGATCGTGAAAAGAGACTGTATGGGGAGCTAATCAAATGTGATAAATCAATGATGATACATTTTAGTATGTTTCAATAACTGACCTCCTTCAAGATATTAGAAAAGAGATGCTTTTGTAAATAGGCTGGCACACTGTCTCCCAAGTGTCCATCATATATAGCAAAAAGTCCTAATTCTTGCCCTCCGCATTTCACAATTTTTGCTACATGATAGTCCTCCATTGGGTGGTTTGCTTTCCCTTTAACTAGGCTAAAACCATACTTAACTGGCCACAGATGGCTCCTCCCCTTGCCGGAGCTACATGAAGAGCGTCCTCCAACCACCTACAACTATTAAAGTCAAAATACACTAACAAAAATTCTTGTGTTTAACATAAGATGCCATCCAAGGAAGGTGGTTGAAGCATTCAAGATGTTATTAAAAAAGACAAAGGAAAATGATTGATTATTGAGGGAAGCATAGCATAAATGTGAAGCCAGGAAATAGGAAGTTGTCAATACAAACAAACAACATTCAGAAATAAATCAGAGAAACAAACCCCGTACTAGATAATTCTATCAGCCACAGCCACAGAATACTGAGTATTTATCAGCACCAACAACCAAATGAGTTATAAATAAAACATAGCTCATAAGCATGGTTTTAAAAAATGGTCTGAGTGAAATTTCGTATGCAAAGCTTCTTTGGATCAGTGACCCCAACAACACAACTGCAATTGAGGAGCATCAACCGCATTTGTAATTTCCAACAATATCAAGAATCGTGGCGACAACAACTGTGAGGGGACCATGATCACAATTTAAAATCTTTGTTCATAGTAGACTGAAAAACACTGACAAAACATTCAAGAGTCGAAACTATATTAAATAGACAGTTTGGTTAATAGCAACCATTTGAAATGAACCCTATGTCTCGAAAGTAGCTTACTGCAGAAAGTCCAAAGCTTAAAAAAAAATCTTATGTTTCAATTTTCATTAACAAGTATGCTTAGAAAATAAAATTTCGGACAGTCCAAAGCCATTCATTGCCCCAGGCAAAACTCAATCCGCACATAGACAAAGGCTGCATAAGGCCCCTCTAAGATACAAAAAGAAAATCTTTTAAAACGTTAAGAAATTGTACATTCATGAAGATTGATTATTCAAAAGGCAAAACTTTAGAACAATAATAAAGAGGCCACAGATTCTCACCTGATGGAAGCAACAGAAACAATCCATGAAATAATTCTGCCCCGCCTCACCTTCCCCTTCTATTGCTCAACATCAAACTCTTCTCAAATCTTCAGAACAGAAAATTTAGCAAATATTTGACGGCAAAGAAACTCCAAAACTCTCCAACAACTGTGAATTATCAGCAAAACATTCCGATCACTGACGCAAGCAATTCTAACAATCCTCTCGAGAAAAGAGAGGGCAAAAGGAAATCTTTCCAACACCCAGATAATCAGCAGGCTAAAAAAATTCAGAACCAGTCCAAAAATTTGAAATTTTTGGCAGAAAAGTATATTAGAGATGGGCAGGAGAAGTGGGTGGTCTCCTCTGTAAGAAATGAAGAAAAAGAGAGAAAGAACAAGAAAAGCTTGTAAGAAAACGCCCTTGTGATGAAAAGAGGTTATTAAAAGAAAGAATAGAAAAGAAGACGGAGGGGTGGTAAGGTAACCTTATGGTTTTGTTGAGAAAGTCTGGTCTGCAATGGGTGCGAAAAGGCAGAGGTTGCCCTTATTGACTTTGCAGTTTTGTGTTATTGTAATTGCTATTGCTATGCTGACACACTTTGTTTGATTATTACATACAGCTGTTTTGAGGTTTCATTTCATGGTTCTTCTCTCAACTCTCTCCCATAGGTGGCTGCCTTCCTTGGGTTGGGTGGGGACTTGTGAAAGACTTCAAAAGTCAGCAACACTTTCTACCCTCTTAACACTTTCTCTCTCCTTACCATTCTCTTATTTTTCCCTAAGATAGCTCTTGTCTCCAAAGGATAACACAAACAATCTTATTTTACAATGAACCAATTTCCTTTTATATTCTTACTTGTTTGACCAAGCAACACTATCTAATCATACAGTGTAATAAAGTTATTATTTTTATGCAATGATAAGAGTTTTAATATCATCAACCAATCAAAAGTTTTAACAGGAATGAATTTTAAGTTAATTATAGACAAAAGATAAAAGGATTATTTTTTATTAAATAATAATGTATTTTCTCACAATTAATATGTAAATTAAAAATCATGATAATTTTGGTTCAAAAAGGTAACTCATTTTTTTGTCTTGATTAAGAAATTTAATTAATACTGTCATTTGATTCCAATAATCCTAGTTAAAAATACGTTGTTTTACTTCAAATTTGATATAGAAAATAAATATGGTTAAAAAGATAATTTATTTAAATATATTATTGAAATGACGTCATTAAAGGTAAAAGTGGATAAATTTTATATATATTTATTTTTCTCAGATACTTTTCTCTTCTTGTAATTGAGTAAATTAAAAATACAAATCTTTTACTAAAATTCAAATATAAAAAAAAATGACATAAAACTGTGCTTTTACAGCACTTCTTTCATTTCATGTTTTCTTTCATTTTAACAATTAATTTACATTATTTAACTGTGTTCAACCAAAATATTAAACTTAAGCATTTCTCCTCTTAATAAATAATACTTCTGTATATGCATTTATAAATATTAAAAAACCTGCATCAATATTTGAATCAGGTTAGTCTCTCATAGATGCTAATAGTTTTTCTTAATTTCTGTTAAACGGTATTTAATAGGAGTAAAGGAATCACTGAAATTTATTGTTATTTTCTAACATGAGTAGTATGTAGTAACACTGTAACAATTTTTTAATCTATTTTCAAATTAATTATTTTATTTATACGAAATTAGTACTATATTCATTAAAAGAATGAAATAATTTTAGTAAAAATATTTAATAAGATAACATATTTATTAAATTTTGGTTTAATATTGTTCCCTACTTTTAGGAATTTGGTTCAAAGTAATCATGTCTTTTAAAAAAATTCAGTAAGACCTTATATTTTGTTAAAAAAATGTTCAATCTGGTCCTTTTTACTGTTAAAAACATAACAGTGCAAATGCCACCGTAGCATTTCATAAGCACGTGACACACGTTAATTAATGGACTTAAATGATTTTTTAATTTAAAAAAAAAGTCTCTACCATCACCATCTCGAGACAAACCCTAATTTCTCTTCAAGAAACCCTAGCCGTCCCACCATCGAGCGCTGTCATCGTCATCCTCTCCAATGCATCACACGCCACCACCAAAGCTATGCGACTAGAACGCGAGAAACCCTAGGTCTCCACGGTTTGCTTGCAGGTCTGATTATGGTTGCAGGTTGAGACAAGCAGTGGCGCGATTAGGTGGAGAAGAGTGGCGATTCGCGATCTGCAACAACTAGTGATTTGGCTGGTGGTTAGTGGTGGACGATTCTGTTGTGGAGAATGGACGACAGTACTGCTGGCGCGACGACGATTTGGCTGGTGCGAGGGTGAAAATGGTGAAGATTGGTGGCCGCAGCATAGCAAGGGATCGCGTTGGGTGGTGACGTGAGAACGAATGTGAGATGCGAAGGTGATGGAGGTACAACATAAGAGAGAAGACGCTTTGGTGGTGGCGCGTGATGTGTTGGAGAGGACGACTGCTGGCGAGGATGGCAGTGACAGTGCTGGATGGTGCGGCGGCTAGGGTTTCTTGGAGATAAATTAGGGTTTGTTTGGAGATGGTGATGATGACGTGACATTTGTACCGTTATTTTTTTAACAGCGTAAGCGAAAAGGATCAGATTGAACATTTTTTAACGAAAGGATCAGATTGAACATTTTTTAACGAAATTCGAGGTCTTACTAAATTTTTTTAAAAGATATAATTACTTTAAAACAAACTCCTAAAAATAGAGACCAAAATAATGAATTAAACCTTCCTTTTTCAACACAAGTCTCTTGTAACAGTGAGACTGAAGGAGTTAATATATTATAATATAATAAAAATATGTATAAAAATAGAATATAATAATGGAGAATACTATCTGCAATAAAGAAGTCAACCCTGCAGGTTAGATTTTTTAGACAGGACATTAACTGTGAGCATAGAAACAGTACAGTTGGCAATTGACTAGAGAGCATCATAATCTTAAAGATATTTTTTTCAAACACACATTAAATGCCAAATGTAACAGTAAAAAACTCAACTTTGAAGGAAGGACTCTGCTGGGTGGGGCTCAGGTTTAATTTCATATTAAGTTAAATATATTAGGGTTAGGGTTAGGTTAAAATTAGGGTTAGATTGATAATAGACAGACAGTGATGACAAACATCTGAGAAAGTCAGAAACCACTCTGCTCTGTATAGTAAAAGCTGAATGGTCAAATTAAAAATGTAGCAGACTTGTTTGGTTCCTTCCCAACCATAATTGCATCTCTCCCAAATTTGTCCTGTTTCAGTTTCAATCTAAACCTCCATCCAAACCAGTTCAAACTAAATTGTCCTTTTTACCCTTCATCAGTTAACTGACTTTTTCTAAAAGTAATATTCAAATAAAATTTTAATCTCCTTATTTCATTCAATTTGCAATTTTATTTCATTCAAATAAAATTTCTAAAAGTAATTAAAATTTAAAACACATCCAGTTTTTCTGTTTTATAAATATTTAATTTTTAACTAATTTTAAATTTTATATTCAATTTTTATTACTATGATTTGATGAACCTTACCACTGATATATCTATTAAGGTACCACAAACTGATTTAATTAATTGAAACGTAGCAACAACAAAAAGAAAAAAAGATAAATATACATATATAAGCAAATTTAAAATTGAATTACAATTTTATATTTATAAAATATAAATTACAAGGTTTAAGTATAATTTATGTAACTTTGCTTCTTCTTTTTTATGTAATTCCTACAAAAAACATTTGATATTTTTAAATTCTTGATGTTTTTTAACTTTATATTTAAATATAGTTAGTGCAGTATTAAAAATAGAAGATATATTATGTATCTACAAAAATTTTAATATGAAATATTTTTTAAAATTTAATTACATGAATCAGTATGTTCTATTTTAACACTGTGCTAACTATATTTAAATATAAAATTAAAAAAATCAAATTTAAAAATATAAATTGTTTTTTTACAAAAAAAGAAGAAGGAGCAAAGTTGCACAAACTATACTTAAACCTTACTTATTTTTAGTTAATCAAGATTAAAGAGAGAAAAAAAGGTGTTTCTACATTCATGATAAAATGTCTTTGCATAAGATAATCAACAATAGAATCATTACAAACAAGCACGAGTTTCAAAATTTGTTCAAAAAAGAAAATACTCAGAGGTCTCATCACATAATGATAAATATTTGAAATTCAGTTAATGAATTTGAAGTGTAAAATATTAAAAAATGAATAAATGAATAAGAAAAAAGGAAGTAAGTGGATGTGCTTATTATTACAACCATGAATAGGTCAATTGCATGCATTGGTCTGTGCAGTGTTTGGTGGATCAACAAAACAATAGGAAAAGCTCTTTTTACTTAATTCTTAACATTCCCACTCTCATTATGCCATCAGAAAAACCAACATGTCACAACTTCACACGCGTGGAAACAAACAGTGACCTAGGTGTACGAGGTGGGGTTTTGCCACGTGTACAACCCGTGCTGATGTCTCCTCCTTTTTCTGTTTCTGTTGCTCTGTTACACAAGAACAGATGAACTTTTCCTGTGCTGCTATGCTATCAATCATCTTAAACGAACATGGCAACAGGCATGCCAAAACCATACTACACTCACTTCTAAACTGCAGTCACAATTATGTCACTAAGATAAAATTCTCATCAAATATAAATGTAAAAAATTATATTATTGTGGTTAAAAGTGTAGCTATGAACATTTTTTAGAATAAGTCAATTACAAAATTAAATAAAGTATAATATTTTAATTAATATGTCTGAGATTAATTTATTTTAAGTTGTATATGTTCTTATAAAAATAGGCTAAACCAGTACAAGTTCTGGACAGATTTTAATTTTAATTTTTATTGTGTTGTGGATGCTTTTATTTTGAATGATAGAGTATCTCGGAACATTTGATGCATGTTTGCTAAAAGTCCAGCTATGATTTGACTCTATAATTATGTACTTAATCATTAGTAATTAATCCAATATGATATAAGATTATAATGATTATAGTATTAACGTGAGATTTAAATTTACACTTAAAATTTTAACTATAATTTATAAACAGAACAAAGTTTTTCATACGTGTTAAATCTCATTAAAGTGTTAAAATTTGAATTTGCATTAAGAAATTTCCTAAAGTTGAATCAATGCGACCTGTTTTAATTTCAGTTATTGTCCAACAAATTGAATTAAACTACATTTCAAAATTGATAACTTGCCTCCAAGTTAGGTGAAGCTGAAATCATGTTGGCTCGTCAAAATTAGATCAAGGGCAATCATGCTTGAAAATAACACGAGATTTTGAAAGAATAAAAAATTGATTTTTAACGTAAATTAAAACTTTGTAGATTGAATTCAAAGTCATTTCTCTATAAAGAAATTAAAAAAATGCAATGAGTATTTATTTATGGAATCTTATGAGCAGTAGATAAGAATGCAAAGAAGATTTGATTTGACAAGACTGAATCCAAGTTATGAAATCAAGAATGCACACTGAATATAGTTGACCACAAGAACTGCACTCACTGTTCCTAGATCTAATTTTTTAAATTAGATTAAAACAATTAGTCTATATTAAACCAATTTTGAATAAATGTGAGTCCAATTCTTTTATAAATTATAAAATATTTAATTCTTATATAGGATAGCTAATGTAAATTATCTTCTTAACAATCAACATGTGAATGTTATATTTTAATTTATTATGAAACTCCTTTATTACATGAGAAATACTATATATGTCATCGGTTGGAA